AGAGAAACATGTCCTTGCTGGCCAGGAAGAAAACAAATGGCCATGTTGTGAACGACTTAATAGGGACTATGTGGCAAGAAACTGCATTCTTCAGAATCTGAGTCATCCCTGAATTACTATTGGCAAGAAAACAGCGACCTGAGTCATACAACCACAAGGAAATGAATTCTTAAAAAAAAAAAAAAAAAAAAAAAAAAAAAAAATTAACATGTATTTATCTTTGAGGGACAGAGAGAGAAAAGCATGAGCAGGGGAGGGGCATAGAGAGAGGGAGACACAGAATCCAAAGCAGGCTCCAGGCTCTGAGCTGTCAGCGCAGAGTCTGACATGGGGCTCGTACTTGTGAACCATGAGATCATGACCTGAACTGAAGTCAGACGCCCAACCAACTGAGCCACCCAGGAGCCCCTGAAATTATTTCTTCAATAACCAGTGATCTTAGAAGAGGTCTTGAGCCTCAGATGAGAATCACAGTGCTAGCTGACACCTTGATTTTAGTCTGGTGAGACCCTGAGCAAAGGACCCAGTTATTTTGCACTCAACTCCTAACCCATGGAAACTGTAAGGTAATAAATAGGTATCGTTTTAAACCAACTAAATTTGTGATAACTTGTTATAAAACCATAGCTAAAAAAACTTTGATTGCCCTGAATTTTATCTTCTGGTTTTTGTTTTTTTTTTTTTTCAACGTTTATTTATTTTTGGGACAGAGAGAGACAGAGCATGAGCGAGAGGAGGGCAGAGAGAGAGAACACAGGAGTGGAAACAGGCTCCAGCTGAACCCATCAGCCAGAGGAGCCCGGCAGGGGCTTCGAACTGCACCGGACCTTGAGATAGTGACCTGGCTGAAGTCGGACGCTTAACCGACTGCGCCACCCAGGCGCCCCTCTTCTGGTTTTTTAAGCAACCAAGCCTGCAGGCTTTCATAAGAATTTTAATTGTTCCCTAAGACTTAAATGAGGTCTGCCCTTAGGGTAGGTGTTGTAAAAAAATTTTTAAAGCGGAAAACTTACTACATTCCTTTCCTTTTTTCTAATTGACTCCCCTCCAGAATCTACCAGCTTTTGTTCCCTCTCTTCTGCCTTCAGGTAGCTGTCTTTTATATTTAGTCCAGAGTTTACAGCTGTCTGGGGGAGGGTCCATCTGCTATAAATGCTATGTGACCATTCAGTTTCTGGATACCCTTTGAAAGCAGAATGAATGTGATTTCCTGGTAGATTAGGAGCAAGAGTATGACAAAGAAAGAAATTAGAGATTAGTCTATGGTTTTTGGCCTCTGTAAGTGAAAGGATGGTGTTGCCATTTACTGAAGCAGGGAAGACTATAAATATAAGAAATTGCATATGTGAATTTAGCCTAGGGAGTGTACTGGGCTAGATATAGATATTTGGGAGTTGTTTTTTAAAACCATGAGACAGAATTAAACCCTCAACAAATTAACTCTAAAGATAGATGAGACGAGACCCAAAGCCTGAGTCCTGGTGCAATCCAGAATTTAAAGATAAAGAAGAAAAGCAAAATTAACAGAGGAGACTGAGAAAGAGCAAGTGAGGGAAGAGAAAAATAGTGAGAAGTAGTGACCTTAAATCCTATTAAAGAATGTTTCAGGCATAAATGAATGATTATCTGTATTTAATGCAGTGCCAAATAGGCTGAGCTTTGAAACTTAACCTTTGAATTTAGCAATGTGGAGACAGGTCTTTGTATCCTAAACAAGAGCAGGGTTAGCAAAGTGTTACAGGAGAAAACGTGATTTGGGTGGAGATCACATGGAAGGAATAAAGTAAAAGACTGTGAATTTAGGCAATTCTTTTGAGCAATTTTGGCGAATAGAGAAAATGGAGTACTAGCTTGAGGAAGAAGTGTAGTCAAGAGTTTTATTTTGTTGCTTATTTGTTTTTAAGATGGAAGAATTAATAGTATGTTGGGATTAAATAAAAGAAACATTGGTGATGCAAGGAAAGTAGAAGGGAAAATTATTGTTAGAGCAATACCCTTGAAGATAGGCAGGGATAAGAATTGGCCTCAGATAGAATCAGGCAAAATTCATCCATAAAAGTGGGACTGAAGGCAAATTATGTGAATTTAGGCATTGGTGAGTGGTCAATGTAGTAGTGGGAATTAGACATTTGAGGAAAGAGGAGAAGGTACAAGACAGGTCTGGAGTGTGGAAGAGTAAGTGAACTAAAAAATGTGTAATCTCCCAAGGGAGTACTGAGGGTGCACTTGAGGTTAGAGTGAAATGATTTTTTTTTTTATTGTTGAGAAAGAAAGAGAGAGAGAGAGTGCACACATGTGTGGGCGAGGG